TGCAACTAGTTGGCGGCTTGCCTTGGAGACCCGGGGTTGTCGCTCTACTCGCGGCGCGAACAGAGCGCGAAAGGAAGCTCGTGGACGAGGTTGCACGGTCCGACTAACCGGCTGAACGCGAGAACACTCGCGACTCCCGTTCGCAGCCGCAAAAACCAATGACCTAGCACACTTACTGACTTTTATCCAGTCTGATTTCGCAGGCGACGCGATCGTCCGGCCCGTTCGGTCGGGCACACGGCGTGAACGCACTTATATCGTTTGTTCGAGCCGACTGGAGGACTTTTATCGCATCCGGCGCCGAGCACTCTTTCGAAGAGGAAAGACCGAGCCGCGCTTCGAACTTGCGCGCCAATCGGCGACAGTCGAATCTGGATCGGTGGGGGAGCACGCGAAAATTCGCGGGAAACCAGTGCCCTGTTTCCCAGCTGACGGCGAGAGGTCGTGAAAATTCGCGGAAAACTGGTGCTCTGTTTTGTTAACGGACGGGACGGGTCGCGAACGTTCGCGGGAAACCGGTGCACAATGTGTCGCACAGAGTAGGCCTTTATTCGGAATATTTCGAATAAGTATATATATATATATATATATAAAAAATTATTCGTACAGGAATTCATACGGAAAATAATTTACTTGAATATCACTTTTTCGAATTATTCGAGTAAAGAATTTTTCAAATTATTCGAATAAAAATCATTCGAGTTATTAGAATAAAAACCGTTCGAGTTATTAGAATAAAAATCATTCGAATTATTAGAATAAAAATCATTCGAATTATTAGAATAAAACTCATTCGAGTTATTCAAATAAAGAAATGTTTGAATATATATATATATATATATATATATATTCAAACATTTCTTTATTTGAATAACTCGAATGAGTTTTATTCTAATAATTCGAATGATTTTTATTCTAATAATTCGAATGATTTTTATTCTAATAACTCGAATGATTTTTATCCTAATAACTCGAATGATTTTTATCCTAATAACTCGAATGATTTTTATTCGAATAATTTGAAAAATTCTTTACTCGAATAATTCGAAAAAGTGATATTCAAGTAAATTATTTTCCGTATGAATTCCTGTACGAATAATTTTTTATTCGAAGAAAGTCTTATTTCGATTAAAATTTTATTCGGATACATTTTTATCTAGATAAAGTTTTATTCCATAGTGTTAAATAAAATCTTATTCCTGAGTCTTTATCTCTTATTCGTCATTCGAATAAAATTTTGCCAAACTCCGGTGTCGCGTAATGTATAAAACTCAAATACCTGAAATGTTTCAATCACGAAATCTTGTATCGCAAAGAGTTATACCAAAGAACGTAGATTTTTAATATTATCGATAATTTTTGTTAAATTTATTAATTTGTTGTCAAAGCCCATGTTAGAGTTGTGTCCCAAATTTTGATACAATTTTTCAACCCATTACCTTTGGCAGGATATTTAACCCCTTAAAGTCGAGTGGTGACTTTAAGACGCCACTAGAAATTGTTATATCTCGTTTCAGAAGAATTTGAATATTATCAAATTTGTATATATTTAAAAAACTGTTAAAAGCGTAACTGTTGCATGAGTCGCAATATTCAATTTCATATGTATAAATACTATTGTGGAATACATATGTGGAAATACTATAAGTCAGAAATGTTATTTCGGATCTCGAGTTAAAATGGATCCAACTGAAAAGGCAAATTTGATTTTTACAGATTATATTTATTACTATAATGTCTTCAAAACTGCCAAGTTGTTTTTAATGATAATAATCATGGCAATTTACACTAATTTGTTCAGTTAAATGTTTATCAACTTAAACTAGACTTTACAAAAAATAACCAAAATTTACTTCCTTGATTTTTAGCACGTTAATTTACGGAACATCAAACTTTGCGTGAATGTCATGAATTTTAGTTACGAAACATTCGTGTTGAAGTTTTTTAGAGTATGAAAAAGCTAAAAGGATTGACAGTGTAATTACTGTGAAAAAGTGAAAGTAGCATTATAGATCTATGCCTATCTTGGTACAAATTTTATACATATAATTAAATTTTATTATATGTATCAGTAATTTGTTACAATAATTTGCACGTAGTGTTTATTGTCCCCTACTAACTACCAACTTTCAGAACGTTGTAATTCAGTTTTGGTGTTAAGAAGTCGCTTTCCCGATAACTATGCCCTGGAAAATTCCGTTTTGTACTTTTCTAAAGAATTGTCTGGGAAAACGCTTTCTAGGAGACCTAATCTAGAACATGGGATGCTAATAATCGCGTGGAAATCAGTAGCTACCTCTTAGCCAAGGGTCTGATGTTCGAGATTTAGAAGGTGCATTCAAAAGAGTTTTTTCTCAGTGAAATTGTTAATACTTTCCTGTGAAATAAACTACGGATGTCATTTACATGACATTTGCAGACTTTTTATATGCACGGACACTTTTACAGTAATAGATATTAATAGACGGTGAAATAAATTTGTCTTTCAGTTTAATTTCTATTAAAGAACTCATAAAAATTACCGAAAGTAACTTTAGCGGATCAAGAAATTACCGAAAGTAATTTTAAAGAACATTATATCGATATTTTACGCGGACCAGAATTGTTAAAAATTGCCAAAAATAATTTTAGTAATCAATATATCTATAGATTGTATGCCAGAATTTTTAAACATTGTCGAAAGTAATTGTAACTTTTTTTTAATTTCTTCGATAAAAAGAGAACTATTCGTATTAATTTAGGCAATCTAATACATCGTTTCCATTGCGATACGATCGGAGTCACGAATTTCCGGCAAATATTAACATATTTTCTGCTTCTAGATACACAATACACGTAGCTAATGAAATTAATATACACATCAGTGAATGTGAAATCACTTTCTTAGCATCGGCGAAGTTAACGTTCACTTAAAAAAACAATATCGACGTAAGCGGTCCCGATAGCCATCGACACGCTAAAGTAAAAGTATGACACGAGAAGGGAAATCTGTCGAACTCCGCGTGTCATTTTCCCTTGATTAAAGCTACAAATTATGCCAACGACCAATTATATACAACGTTCTCTTTATGTATAAACGATGTTCATAAATATTCAGACCACTTTCACGTTAACGACACCAACTTCCACACATGAGCGTTGCCAGAGAAATCCACTTGGGACAAAATCTCACACTCTTCCATGGTAAAATGGAATGTTAAAGATGGTCGCCAATATTGTGCAATTCTGTTACAACGAATTTATAGCACCAAAAACATACTAATTTACGATAACAACGAGAAAACGATTGAAACGTCAGGATTAAAATATGTGGATGCTCGATTAGCCATAAACTGGTATGAGATCAGATTCATTGATATTGTTAATTTATATTTTAGTCTTCGAGAGTCCTCGATTTTGACAACTGATAAGACAAATGTTATTTTATAAATTTTTAACGAATAATCATAAATATCTTTATTGGGATACAATTCTAAGAACTTTACGTCTACAGTAATATTCATAATTTAATTATGTCCATATTTATATTATATTTTTACTATATTATATTATATTATTATTATTATATTACGTTATATTATTATTATATTACATTATATTATATTATATTACATTATATTATATTATTTATTTTATATTATAACAATTCCAATTCAAACTTTTTGTAATGTTCATGTGATATTTTTCTTTTATTCTCG